CAACAGGGGATTGGGATTTCAATAATGAATGAGAACAGATGGCACACCCACTTTGAACTGGAGCACAAGGATCGCTGGCAAAATGGAATGGTGGAAAACTGTACCTTGGACACAGCACATTAAAAAAAAAAAGCTTCACAAAAGATGTGGAAATTGTCGTTTTAAGTTGCACTGGAGTGTCAGATTTCAACCGCTGCCACCTGCAATAGAGGGCGAACCACCATCCGTAGCAAGAAGCCCAGATGCTTGATTTGCAGCCAGTGGCGCTAGTGTCTCCCTTAGAGGAATCAACATGTGAAATGCAAACTGACCACCACCAAAACCTTTTAATGAATCTAAAATGAATCTCTACCCTCAAGCTGGGTTCTCCAGATGTGTTGGACTGCAAGTCCCAGAATCCCCCAGACAGAATTCCAGGAGCTGCAAGCACACATGGATGCAGGACTTGAGGCTGGGGGAGTCTACTCTAGCCCTCCAAATACCACATTGCTGGCATCTGTAGGGGCCCGACAGAAAGCTGGAAAGTATTCTTACTTCTGTTTATGAAAATGCCATCAGACCAGTTGACCAAGCACTATAAACTCTCCAAATGGTGTGAGGCAGAGCTGTCGAGCCCTCAACTTGCAACCCAAATCAACCCCATCTGGGGGCCCCCGACGACCACCCCCTTCCCCAACCACTGATCATTTGTGGTTTCCCAGTGTTTGCAATGTCCCCCCACCCCCTAAAAGGTTGAAATGCATTGTCCAAGTCTTGAGCTTTAAGCTAAATTAGGCAAGTAGTTTTGCTATCTGGGCCTTCTGTCCTGCCTGTGTCCCTGCCCATCACTGGAGTGCAGCCCTGGAGAGCTTCTCTGAAACTGAATTTGGCCCTCGGGCTGAGAGAGGTTCAGCAGTTCAGCAGTCCTGCTCTGACTGTGAGCAGCATAAGCTGCAGTCCTTGTTCTGCTAAACCGATGAGGCTGCCGAAACTGTTTTCTTCACCCTGCTTATCCTAGGCCAGGCTTCCGAATCCTCCCCAGTTCTGTCATCGGGCCCCTCCCTCACTTGCAGCTGTGGAGAAAGAGTTCAGGTGCGTTGCACAGCAAGGCAGTGGGTGGATGCCGGAACGGCTGCCCTCTCTCCCGCTGCGGGGGGGGGGGGGGCGGGGGCAGCTAAAGGCCCGTGTCCTGGGTCTAGGTCATCACGGGACACCTTGCCAGGGATCAACACCAGTAACTGGGGTGCTACCGGTAGGGGTATGACCTGAAGCCTCAAACTCAGGGTGGGCAAAAAGATCTCCAGAGGTTTGGGACTTCAGCTCTAGCATGGCAAGACATGTCTCCCAACCCTGAATTGTGCAGCCTCGTTCCTTCAAGATGCCTGCAGTCCAGCTGGGAGAACTGAGATCAGAAACTGGGACCCTGCGTGGCTCTGACATACGCAAGCGACCTAGCAGACCGGAGGCGTCTCGTGTTTCAAACATGCGGAAGTGCTAGAAAAAGACTTCTGCTAATTAGTCCCGTGTGACATCATTGCAAACAATCAGGACTGGCATCCGATATTCCTGGGGGAAAGTATACCTGGCATCCGCCCAGCAGTGACCTCATGGCACATGGAGTGCCCGCTTGCTGCTTGGAATCTGTCTTTAAATTTGGTGATCCAATGGCTCACAAAGTAGCCCAGCTTCACTTGCCTGTTCCAGGAATGGGTAACTAGTGGCCCTCCAGATGGTGTTAGACTACAAGTCCCACCATTCCTCCCTGCTGGCCATACTTGCAGGGAGGGATGGGAGCTGTAGTCCAACAGCATCTGGAGGGCCACCAGTCGCCCATCCCTGGTTTACATCAGTCTTCTGCAATGTGTTAGCTTCCAGATGTTTTGGGTTACAACCCCAGCCTGGGCCCAACCACCGTGGCTGATGGGAAGCTGTGTTAGGAGCTGTAGTCCAAAAAGAATCTGGGTGGCACCTTATTGGAGAAGGCTGCTTCAGAACTTCCCCAGCCTGTTTCACGATGCCCTGTGGGCCTGAGGCTGGCTGGGGAATGCGAGGGACATCAGTGATGGGAGCTGCTGGCCTTTTTCTCTCTCTAGACGTGGAAGGGGTTGGCGGGTGTGTCCTGGAATCTCTCACTGAAATGAAGAGCTCCTGCCCATTCCTTCTCCATTCCGGCATCACCACTACTCCAGTTATCCCACAGCATAGGCTGGATGACTGGCACCACAAGGCACATGGGCAGTACAGTCGCCAAATGACCAAAGCCAGCCTGGCCAGCTCTTGTGCCTTTATCAACAGCTGGATCTTCAGAACTAGCTGGCAAAAAGTTTCACTGCCTGGTCACAAATATTCATCATCACTGCTTGCGGCTTAAGGCACAGCCACGGGGACTAAAAGCTTACAAAACTGACAATCCTCTCTTACACCCTATAGAACGGAGGGTCTTTCTCTGGAATAGAATGACTGGAGTGTCAAGAGAGTAGTTCTTTATGCTATGCATACTTAAGCTGTGGAATTCACTTTTTAAAGAAGTAGACGTGGCCAGCATTTGGGGTATTTTAAATAGGTTAGCCAAATTCACGGAGGCTATCAAGCTCCACTAGGAAGTTCAACCCCCACTCAGCCAGAGAGTGGTTTTGGCCTAATTCTGTCTAACTGACCTTAGAGGGTTGACATGAGAATAAAAATCTCAGGACAGGGGAAGGGAAAGAACTGTGTGCATTGCTCCAAGAGTGGAGGACAGGTGGGGTATAAAATGGAAAGCTGTGGTAGAGTTTCTAGCAAGAGTCCTACTAGAGAAAAGTTGGCAGTCCTATGATTTGTTTATCCTTAATCCGAGTTAATTAATTTGAGTTAAAACTAGGTCTTTAAAATGTCAGAGGAGTCTAACAGATTTAGGGCACAGTCCTATGGTCACTAGACACTGTCTAGGCAGCCATGGGATAATCTGAGAAGTACTGCTAGGTTGGAGCTGGGCCTGAAGCTCTTGCACCTTTGGTTCTGGCTGCAGTTCCGAGGTTGCAAGTCCAACCGCGGAGCTGGCACTGAGCAGGAGGCATTCCAGCAGGTGGGGGGGAGGGGGGATGGGCAAGACATTGTCGCCCTGTGAGGGATCTTGGGAGTAGCCCTGGCTCCTCTCCTCATGAGCCAGTGTAAAACACTCGGATCGCCAAAATAGGCTGAGTGTTGTGAAGACGTCTTAGCTCCTATACTGCTCCCACACTCCACGGAAAGCATGCTTGCAACCCTCGGAATGCAGCGGGTGCCAAGCAACCCCGCTGGACGTCGCCCCGTCGTACCCTTTTCTTGCAAGGATTAGATGAATCCGATGAAGTGAACGCAGCTGCTGCGATGAAGCTGTGGCGATGCGAGGCTCCGTACCCCATCCGACAGCAACGTTCATTGTTTCTGCTGCAGCCGCCTCGTGTACGTCCCTGCACTGAAATTATTAAGAGGCCCGAGGCCCGGCCGCGGTGCAGGAGCAAAGCTCATGGCATGGCCAGCCACCTCTGCGCCATGCGACGTCATTAAAGCAGGCAGCTTGTAAATTCCTAGAGGTGGAGCTGGCTGCACTTCATGACCTCATGCGGCAGGGAATCCGGCCGCAGCTCGTCAGGCAGAGGAGGGTGATTGGGCGATCCCTGGCGTGGCACGTGGGGACGGGAAGGAAATCGGGGCGCCGCCCTCCCCGTGACTGATCACCGGCAGGCCAGCAATTAGGTAAGGTGGCCTGGGGCGGTGCGGGCTCACGTTGCCTTGGCCTGGACTGAAGCCAGCCCCTCCTGGTTCTCGGGAATAAACAGCACCCAGGATCCAGGTGAGCCAGTGGCAGGTGCAGCGACACGTGTCTGTGGACATGTACGTGGAAGGGCGCCACCTGCTTTTTACCTGATCCTCCACTCTGGGGAGATGTATTCAATTTCTATTTAAATTACAGGAGTTTTTTCTCGATATGCACATGTACCTATACATTAGTCAATCCAATTTTTACCTTGTTTCCTCCCCTTTTCTAGCAGCTCATGCCCTCCTTTTTCATTGTACTGCCTCCTTCCCCAACTTCTCTGCTCTTTCTGGGTTTAATTGCAATTGTTGCAGAGGCCCAGTTCCCATGTAATGGCAGCAAATTATTAACCCACAATTCGCTGTAGTGTGTGCCACCACCATTGTAAATATGCAGCCTCTGACCAGAGCTTACTCCATGATGAGTTAACCCAGCCACTATGAGATAATCATGGCTTAAACACCCCAAAATTAACCTATCAATGAGAGCTGAATTTGTGAGTTAATCCACAATTAACTCTGTCCAGGTTCACACCACACAGAGCAACTTCAATCGAGCCAATTGGAGGTGGCATAGTTAGAATGGTGCACTGCAATAACCCTGCAATTTGTGGATTAATTTACTCTTTGCTGTTGCTTATTGATTAGATTTATATCCCACTTTTTTCTTACAAAGAACTCAGAGTGACTTAGATAATTCTCCTCCTGCTGCTCTCAATCTTATCCCCACAACAACAACCCTGTGAGGTAGGTTGGGTTGAGAGTCAGTAACTGGCCCAAGGTCACTCAGCTGACTCCGTGGCTAAGCAGGGACTAGAACCCAGATTGCTCACGTCTCAGTCCCACACTCTTAGCCACTGCACCACAGTTGTTCCATGTGAGAGGTGCGTAATTGACCCATGATTTGCTGCCATTATGTGTGCGCTGTGTCTACAACTCAGGAGGGATAAGGAAAGGTTTTCCCGGGAATGATAGATTACTGCAAGCTATCCGTGGCAGAATGCAAAGCATTTTTGATATGACTGTGCTGAATGGACATTTGTGACCCATTAGTTTTATGGCAGACCTGCTTCTGTGGGTGTGAAAAGTACTGGACCTGGCAGCAACACACTGCCAGAACGTTTTGATTTTCCAGGCAGGTGTGGCTTTGGGGAATGCACTTCAGAATTCACCACCACAACACTGCAGACAAGATAACCCTTCTGACCTATCCGTCTCATGTCATCTTTTCTCTCTTTCTCTAGGAAAGCGTCAGAGAGGTCTGCAGATGGTGAGTACACGAAAGTTCTCTTTTTAGGATATTTTGCCCCTGAAGTGGCCTGGGAACTGGCCCGAGAGCTTCATGTGCACCAATCATGTACCTTACAAGGGATAAGACATGGGTGGACAACTGGGGTCCCTCCAGAGTTTGGACTGCAATTCCCAGCAGCCCAGGAAGCTGAGCTCTGCTTGGGCATCTCTGGATAGTAGGCTGGAGAGGTTTTAGATCAGCTTTCTCCACCCTGATGCTGTCCAGAGCTGTTGGGAGTACAATGCCCTTCATCCCCGATCATTAGCCATACTTGCTGGGTTTTAGGGAAGTTGAAGGCCAAAACATCCAGAGGATACATGATTAGAGAAGGCTGTTTTAGAATCTCCTTACCTGAAAACCCTTAAAACTGCCATCTTATTCCCCTTTACTTGGGAGTAAGCCCAGTGAACTTAGTGGGACTTATTTCTGAGCAGAAATAAATAGAATTGCACTGAAAATAGGTATACATCAGGGATAAATGGTTATCAGTTCTGGAAAGCTGAGTTCTGGCATATCATTGCAATAAAGCTATGATGTTTCTTCTAACATATGAACTTTAGAAGGAGCTCTTGCCTCGTTCAATTTGCTATCTGAATATACATCCTACACTGAATGTAAATCCTACCAGAAGTCTTCTTTCCCATTACAAATGCCCATCTTCCTCTTCTCCCCAAACAGTAATAACTTTAAATCTGCATTTCTCAAACATCTAATGGCTAGTTTACATTTAAAAAAAAAATGGAAACACTTTCTAGAAAAAGGACTACTTATTATATACAGTGGGAATGTAAGATCTGACCCCCCCCCCCTTGGTAGAGTCCACACCTGAGCTTTTGCAGGAGTTGCTGCTTTGGAGGTGCTTCCTGAAGGGAAGATGGCATACTCGATACAGTAACTCATGCAGAGATGCACTGGTCACCCTCTCCCAAGGGCAAGCAATTTTTGCTATCTCTGGAGTACTGACTGACTTCTGATATAATCACAGCTGCAGAGACACAACACAATCCCCCCTTCCCCTTGAGAATGATGACTGGAAAGAAGCAAGGCCAGAGTAAATGATCATACAGAGACAACAGGAACAGATGAGGCTACCCTACACCAGGTCGGGCTGTTTCTCCATCCTTCTGAGTGTTCTGTGCTCTCATTGGCAGAGGGTCTCAGGCTGAGAAGGCTCTTTCTCTTGCTAATTCCCCGTGGTCCTTCTAACATTTAAATTTAAGTTAGAAACTAACTGGAGATAGCAGGGATTGAGCTTGGGTCCTTCTGAAGGCAACGTAGATGCTCTGCCAGACTGAGCTATGGCCCCTTCATGATCGCTGAGTGATGCAGAAACACATGAGTGGGCTTCTCTGCAGGTACCATCCATCTAGAAGCACATCTTCACAGCTGTTAAAAGGGAGGCAGATGTTGGGTTTTCATTCAGTGTAACATGAGAAGCTGCCTTTGTCCAGGCCAGGTTGTATGCCCACCTAGCTTAGTCTCTCTTCGCCACAGGGGCCTTAATGTAATGATCTCCAGCCACCAGGTGGCATGGTCAGGGATGATGGGAATTGTTCAACAACCCATGGGGACCTGAGGCTGGGAAAGGGCACTGCCTGTTATGCTTGTCAGTGGCACTTCTGGGGGTTGGCATGAAGATAATGGCCTCGGACATTCTGCACATGCTCTGCTGATGAGATATCCACCCCCACCCGGCCTCCTCATCCTCACTGCATGGATGCATTGGTAAATGCAATGTATGTACCCCATCATACTACTCAGCTCCCATATTGGTGGCAACGCTGGCCTAGATAGACCCAGGGCCAGACTTCTTTCTTGAAAGAACATGCCACTGGCTCAAAGGCCATCTAGCAGGTGGGATACTTCCACTTGTCCCCCCAGGATTCTCTGTTGAGCAACTGGCACACAGAAATGCAGGCTTCCCCAGCAGCTGTGATCTTTATTATTTCCTTTTCCCCCTTTCTCTCCACAGCTAATGCAGTACAATCGTTCCCCAGCCACCCGTTTTCACCGAACATGCTGGAATTTCACCTGGCAGCCCCTCCAAGGGGCAATTCCAGCTTGGCCGCACCTGGGAAGCATCAGCCAAATGACTCCACCAAGGTTTCTCCTGCTCAAGTTGCAGCATGGAAGCAGCTGGATTTTGGGGAGAAGTGGAGTGGAGAAGTTTGAGGTTGTGGCCAGGCCTGAGGCTTTGGCTAGTGAGACCGACAACAGTGCAGAAGAATCCCATCCTGCAGAGTTTAACTAAAACTAAACCAGAAATCCATGCTATCATGTCTTGATTGGAAAGAGCATGTACACTGCTCTTGCTGAGCAGAACACTGACATTTCTTCATACCTTCTGCGAAAGAACCCTGACCTTGGAATTGGATGTCACTCGCCCCTGGTTCTGATTAAGCCCCACCCAGAGTGGAACAGACTGTAGTCAGATCAAATCAAGAAAAGACTGGTTTTGCTTCAGGCCACACCTTCAGATCCACTGCTTGGCATGCTGGAAAGATGTTACCTCAGCTGCTGGATCTGGAAGAGAAACGGCTGATTTTCTGTACCATCACATTATTGCATCCTGATTATAATGGATCTTTCATATGCTGGGTGTGTGGATGCAGTTTATCCAGTAGCATCATCTTCTGCTGGAAGTGCAATCCCATTGGTCCTGCTCAGGATCCAGGGAGGTGGCAATGGCCCCTGTGAGATGTGACTCTTGCCTGCTCATCCGTGTGATGATGCCTTTTATCCATCTCTGGGTTCTTCCCTCTGACACTTGGCCAGATGAAACTACACACCCTTTAAACCAGCACCATATCGCTTCTATGTTCTTTATAAGCAAGGGTGGAAAGACAGTGAGTGAGTTAGCATCTGCTGGTAGTTTGCAACTGATCTCCAAGAGGTTCTGATTTCCATTGGCTGAGCAACAGCAGCAACAAGTCTCTTAGAGAAACCAGAGATGTACCAGCAGAAGGATACATGGGCAAGCTTCAGCTCTGGTACTGAAAACTGATTCCTGGCCTGAGCTCGTGCTCAGAAGCACACCGAGTGCATTTTTCAGTGGTCGGGAGGCAGCAATTTAAATCAAATAAGGAACAGCGATGATCATGCTGCAATTCTTGAGTCACTGCATTGCATCTGGATCCAGCTGGTGGTTATAGGAAAAAGCAGCACCAGTCATACAAGCCTCAAGTCGTCGTCTGCTGCTGCTGTTGAATCGCAAAGTCACGCCCGACCCATTGCGACCCCACAGACAACATTCCCCCAGGCTCTCCTGCCCTCCATCCCGCAGCGTCCACCCAAGCCCACACCCACTGCCCCAGTGGCTCCATCCAGCCACCTCATCCTCTGCCACCCCCTTCTCCTTTTGCTGTCAATCCTTCCCAGCCTAAAGCCTACTCACTGTTATCTTACTGTATCTAATCTATTGCTGATGCTGTTTTAAATGTTAGATGGCAGCCGGAATAGCCCACTGTCTTAATGCTGGCTGTACAATACTGAAATGCACAGCATCACTACTTCTATAACAATTGGTAAGCTGTGCTATTTGATCCCTGATCTGGCTAATTTAGACTGTGGTCCTATGCAGTCTGGCAGAAAAAAAATCCTTTGCATGCCCTGAGCAGTATGGAACTGTACCTTTAGGAACTTTGGGTTAAGAAGGTGGCTAAGATCACAAAGAAATGGAGAACCAGAATCTACACCCGAGCCAGGTCTTGCTTTGAGGGTAGTGATAGAGCCAATGCAAAGTTACTGACTCTGGCTCTCCCATCTATGTAAACTTTAACCCTGGAAATAAATGGAACTTTTTTCCCCCTTTCTCAATGCCCCACTTCCCTTCCTACAATATAATGTACAGTTTGCTGGCATGCATGCAAAAGCAAGAAATGAAATCACAACCTAGTTAACACTGTTTTGTTTTTGTTATGTAATAATTTTAATTTGTGTGGGTGTAGATGTAAGTCCTTCAGTAGAATGAAGCTTTGATTGTAAACCATGGGTAAATAAACAGCATAACTATAAATGAAGGCAGATCTTTTTCTTTGAGGGAGAGTTGGCTTGCCAGTCAGAATAACAGAGAGATTTAGTGAGTGAGCCAATCTGCAAAGGAAGTATGACCAGAGGCAAATGCAAAATAGAGTGTTAATACTTTTAATAGTTGTGTAGAAGCTGCAGATGGTGCTTTTCTTAACCAACTACCAACCAACCTCCTGTCCCCACATTGCTGAATTTCAGGAGCCTAACTTAATTTACACACAGTATGCAGCAGTTAAAAGTCCATCGAAGCTAGTAGGAAAAATGTTGGCAAACCATACTAGTCACACTTTACAACAAGGGAGCAGAAAATGGTTGAAAAATATTCTTCTGGCATTATGTTTGGATGTGGGAAACCAAGTGAAATAATTCACCACATCTCCTAAACTATATTTTTCCCACTATCAAAGTATGAGGTTTCATGCAAAGACCCTTCAAGCCAGATCTTGCCAAGGTAATTAACAGCTTTCCCTTATAAGAACTGCTGAAAATCCAGCTTTAAATGCATCCCAGAGGCTGTTGTCTATTCAGAAACCCCACCTGGATTTTTTCTACATTAACACAGTCAACTCTGTCTCAGCATGTCTGCAGGGGAAAACGCATGTGCATTGAGTATTACTCAGTGGGTTTCCTGCAGATGTATGGGACTGCAACTCCCATCATGTTCCAGCCAGCAAAGGGCAGCTATGGATCCTCGTTTACACAGGACGCTTCCCTGTGGGAGGCACTGCCCTGACCAATTCTAGTTTTAAGATGAACAAGCATACGCATGGCTGTTCCTCAACAGCAGGCATTTAGACCACAGGCAGAAGAGGCAGGAACATGGGCGAGCTGGTCGCAACCTTCCACAACATGGCGAGATGTACACTATTTCAACTATCTCTGTGTGCATGCCATGCATGTGCACACATGCAATCTATATGCAAATCCTTTAAACTTTTTTTAGCAGTTCATGTAAGGCTACCTTAGATTCACCTTTGGGGCCTAGCAAGGACGCTCCTTTTGTCAGATATTTTCATGCAGGCTGCCAGAAGAATGTGTAAGAACCAGTTGTGCATATCAAGACAGGGCTGTCTTAAAAGGAAGGCTACCTCTTCTTCCTGCCAAGGCTGGCCAAGACATTTTGTTTCCTGCAGTGTGAAACAAGATGCCAAGAGCCAACTGGACTGACAGCTGATCTACCTTCAACAAGAGAAGAGCGTCCCCGCTGCGCCTTAAGAGCGAACTTGGAGGCGCTAGCCTGGCCGTGCTGCCACTTCTGGTGTCCCCAGCCCACCTGGTGCATGGAGGATGCTGCGAGCCCAACGCACCTGGCGGGCACCAGGTGAGGAAGGCTGGTATATTTATGTCCCGCCTTTTCATAGACCTGAGGACAGCAGGCACAAGTCTCCTATCCCAGTACCGACCAGACCTTCAGCAAGACTGTTATAGTACATGCCTCCAACCACAGCTCGGGACACATGCACAGCCATGCAGTTCTGAAGGTACAAGCAAGCTTACCTTTCTGGTTAAGCCCCACGCCAAAAGCATCAACAAACAATTGTGTTGTTCTCCCCCTCACACACATACATTTAGTGCACAGCAATATTGCACTATGAACTATGCTTGCAATACAGCTGTTCATACAGGCAGTCTCCGAATTACAAACGTCTGAGTTACGAAGAACTCCTACAAACACAAACTGCCATAAAGCCTTTCTGAAAATCACTGCAGAAAACAATAGTCACCATGGAAAAGCAGCAAAGGGGAGAGAGGGCGGGCCGCCAAAGCATCGCCACAGAGAGGAAGTGAAAGCGGGGAGAGGGCAGTCTCCAAAGCAGCCCTTCCTGCTCCCCTGCATCTGGAGTGCAAAATCTTTTTGCAGTTGCTTTGCTGCAAAACAGATGCACTGGCACGTTTGGGTGGCGATGGGGAGTGGGTGGGGTAGTGCTAGATATTCACAGGTTTTCCACTTTCACAGGGATCCTGCACCCCAACCCACTCAGAAGTGGAGAATTGACTATATTTATTTTTATTTTATTTTTCGATTTATATCCTGCCTTTTTCCTACAAAGGGCTCAAGGCAGCTTACATTATTCTCCTCCTCCATCTTATCCCCACAACAACAACCCTGTGGGGTAGGTTGGGCTGAGTGTCTGTGACTGGCCCTAAGTCAACCAGTTGGCTCCATGGCTGATCGACTTACATATAAACTTGACTTAAAGACAAACTTGTTTTCTCAGGAATGGAACTTGTTTGTAAACTAGAGACTGCCTGTATATTTGCCAGATGCAGAAGATCTAGCTCTGATTGTTTAAAAGCGTGTACTTAGGCCTCAAAGGTGCAAGGCTAAGATTTAAAAATTAGGCTGAAGCAGGAGCAGGTACAGATGGAATTACAAGTGACTCAATGGAAGGCCTTCCTTTATCCTGTCCCTTAAGTCCCACATGTTCTGTTATGGCTCTGCTGGGTAACCAGAGCATCACTCCCAGCATGATACCGGCAGCACCATCATGATTCATTCAGCTGCTAATCAGGGCTTGTGTTTAAACAAACCAAAATTTAATTGGTGTATCAAACAATCACAACACTTGCATAATGTAACAACATTTGGCATTTCAAGTTTCAGTACAGAGAATTTATATATATATGTGTGTGTGTGTGTGTGCATATATATATATGTGTGTGTGTGTGTCTGTGTGTGTGTGTGTATATATATATTGTAAGTTAAGCAAGGTTTAAGCTGCTGTAGAGACATCAGAAACTGAGACTTCTGTATGAATGCACCAACATCTGCATTTTAATTCTCGGGCATTTTTAAAGGTGCTCACAAGTGTTCTTTTAGGACAGGGCAAGAGAAAAAGTGACAGCGTTTTACCCATTATGTTCGTGCGTGTAAATACAGTATTAATAACCCCTGTGTGTTGCAAGCCAGAGCGGGCTCGCTGGTCCCTCTTGCTCAGCAACTTCCCTTCCGCCAAGTGGCATCGCTGACAATACCCCAGAAAAAACCCACACCAGACCTTGTCCCCCTATGGTCCAACATGTGCAAGCTGAGGACACCACCCCACTTTCTTGGTTCACAGGACAGGTTGACAGCAGCCACTGAGCCCTGGCAGGGTTCTCCTGCCTCTGGCCACATTTGGGGATCTGTGACTTGCCCTCGAACACAAACTCTCAGACTGTGTTCACATTAGAGGAGGACAGGCAGGGAAGCTCATGACTCTGCCACCCCAATTTTTGGCCAAAGCACGCTATCCCACCTGTAAACTAAGAATAGTAGCCAAAGAAGGCTATCAGAAATCATAGGGTAGCAGCCCGCTTTGACCACCCCAAAATTCAGGCACTCTGTGGCAGGAACACAAGTGCGCTGTGCAAGACAAATGGAAAGGCTTCTCTGAACCCCAAGCCCTTGGGCACAGAGGAGGCTGTCCACTGCACCCTGCCCGCCCGCCTGCCTGCCCTCCAATCAGGAGTGGAAGGAGTGACTGATGCAGAAACATTCTGGGGTAGGCTGCAGTCATGACTAGGTTTTGTAAGGTGATTGTAAGGTACAGAGGGCACCGTACAACCTGTAAGGGTACAAAGAGCGCTTTCTTGCAGTTACGCATACCTTCTCCTTTGACTCGGACAAGAAGTGCAGCACAGTCACCAGAGTCTGGTGAATGTGGCCCTTAAGGGGCTTGCTGAACTAGCCAGTGGGCCACACGCTCACCCAGTGCATTATGGACACCCTCCACTGCTCCTCTTATTGCACGTTATGTGCAAGTAGAAGCGTGCTGACCCTGGCACACAGAAACTAAGGTTCCAAGGACACACAATTGCCTGTGCTCCAACATCAAGCCACAGGTAGCGAGAGCAACGGAATGATCCGGGGGTCATGCAATGGAAGAAAGCCCCCCTCCACCCCACACTGTAATGCCAGGGTCCTCTTGTGTCATTTCGGGGTCGGGGGCTCATTCAGTGTGAATCCCAGCCAAAGTGTGGAACAGGAACAGAGGTGGGTTTCCCTCGCACTGCGCAAGAAGTTCAGGCATGGCTTTTGTTTGAGCAAGCACAGGACTTCCTCCAAATGAGTCCAGCCTCATTTACTCTTGCCCAGAGTCAGCTGCCACATTCAATCCTAACATGCAGTTTTCAGCTCCCTCCCCCAGACCAGTAAAAGTTGCTACACTCCCGGCCGTACCACAGCCAGTGGATTTCTTGCTCTTGCTTAACCCTCCCGTTCACCCTGAAAAGAATTATCTTACAACCGTCCATAGCATACTGAAAAATATACATTGTTGGGTGCTTTCTTGTGTTTTTAAAAAACACAGCGGGAGATTTTAAAAAAACTGAAAACAACAAAAAAGGCAGGTGTGTAGTAACAAACAGGTGGCAGAAATCAAAGACATGGGGAGACCTGAAGGCTGCGTCCTTAAGGCAGCTGTGTGTCAGATGCAGTGACCAGGCAGTGATGAGTCTAGGAGTGCAACAGGGACCAGAAGGGAGCAGTGAGTGCAGCTGGGGCAGGAAGAGGAAGTGAGGGTACCAGCAAGCTTGGCTGGGCAAGAGCGCGGAAAGGAAGAGGACACACAGGACTGGGCGGGAGAGGGCGGCTGGAACTGGGAGGGTGGACTCGGAGCCTAGCAAAGGTGTGGGGGGTGAGAGAGAGGGAGGAGGGAACAGAGGGATGCATGTCTATCAGAAGGGGCTTGGATGCAGCTCCATCACTGCCCTTTCCAAAGCCCACTTCCTACCTTGTTCATCACTGATACACACATTTAATTAAGAAGCCAGGAGGGAAAGCATCAGCCAGAGAGCCCAGGAGGCTCATCACTACATTCCACGTGGATGGGGGGTGAGGATGGGCAGCACCAGACAGACTCACCAGCCACGGATGGACAGACAGACGACAGCAGCAGCAATGGCACGAGACGGACGGGGAGCTGGATGCACGTGCCCTGCCCTGCCCTGCCCTCCCCCCTCCCCTTTGCCCCAGAGCTGAGGCAGTGTCAGCACCAGCAGAGGATGCATGAGCCCTCCCCTCCCTCCCCCTTGCCCCAGAGTCGGGGCAGCATCAGTCCCTGCTCAGGGTAGGAGGTGGGGCTTTCCTCCCCCATTCCTTGGCCAGGTGGGGCTCAGTGTTGCATGGCAGCGGAGTGGTTTTGGTCAGGCGGCTCCGACTTCCGGGGGCTGCTCTCTGATGGACCAGAGTCACCTTCTTTACCCTGCACTTTCCCCCGCTGGCCTTTCTTGTGGCCCCGGATGCAGTGGGCATTGCCACAGCCTTCGTCGTCTTCATCTTCACTCTCTGTGGAGCTCTCTCCAAAAGCTCGCGGCTTCTCATAGATGCAGCAGCCTGTGTTGTGGGAGGGGAGCAAGGGAGAAGAAGAGAGGAATGACAAAAAGTAAAAAGGAGACCAGGGAAACATGGCAAGGACGGTAAGGGAAGAAAGTCAGGAGAAAGTGAAGATTTCAGGAGATTGTGAATGTCAGAGGAACACACAAGTGCCGATGTGGAAGGCAGGGCAATATTTATCAAGAGGCAGGATGAGAAGAAGTTACAGGAGGAGGAAAATCATACATTTGAGTAAAAATAAGAATAAAAGGCAAGGCACAGGAAAGAGGAAATTGCAGATATTGAAGAAAGAGGAAAAGGCAGTAGGGGATTATGAAGAAAGCAAAAGGGCACCATCACAAGACAATGTAGGATTAAGAAGAGGCAGTGAAAGAAGGGTAGAAGGGATGGAAGAATTTAAAAAGGAAGAAACACAGAAACAGAGAGAATCAAACAAGTCTGCAATTAACTGACATTCATGGGAGTACAAGGAGACAAGTTAATTATTCCTCTCAGCCACCAGTCTTGGAAACTCAGTCTTGGGAAAGGAAATGGAAAAGGTGCAAGACATCCTTCAAACAATCTTGGAACATTCCTCCCTGTCCAACATCAACTGTAGACATCAAACTGCCATTGCTGAGATCTAGTCATTCATGTCACTTGCAAGTTCCAAGCAGGTCAAGAGGCAGCAGCAGACTACCGTATCTTTTTATTCACATGTGTAGAATATGCATTAATAACACTATAAACCAAAACAGTAATACATGTTGCATTATATAATTTTAAAAAGGGATGGGCAAAGGACAGATCTCCAGATGGTCTTGACATCATGTCCCAGAAGCCTGTCAGCATGGCCACAAGTAAGAAATTCTGGGAGCTGAAGTCCAGAACATCTGGAAATCTACTTTCTGCCCACCAATCATCTGCCCAGTCAAAAATGACGAAGGAGCTGCACATTTGCAATGTGATACCCTACTCAGGCATAGGCAGAAGGAAGGGCACCCTGAGACAGGAAGAAATGCCTGGCCACAGGTCCTGCCCTGCCCTTCATTTGGAAGAGAGGAGGCTGCTTGGCCCCGAGTCCACCCATCGGCCTATCTAGCGCAATACTGTTAGCTCTAAGTGCCAGTGGCTCTCCCAGATGTCAGGCAGGAGATGTCAGGGACTGAACCCGGGACTTTCTGCATGTAACGCATAAACTCTGCCACTGAGCTGCTGTCTTTTATGTACAGCCAGGGAGCCTTGGGGAAGAAGAGGGAAGTGGAACTGAGACCAACAGGCAGGGACCAAAGAGTGGAGAGCCAAAATACAAAAGCTTTCCTAAGAGGGCCCTCTCAAGTCTGAGGAGACAGGGAAGAAGGAAGGAACTCCTCCCCCCCAGCTCTATTTCCTTATCTTTCTTCTGCTGAATTTGTCAAGTCCCACCCAAGCTGTTGCTCAATCAAGCACACCCGCCCCCCCCCCCAACACACACTCACTATTTTAAAAATCTTTCTAGTCTCTGGCTCCTCCTCCTTTACATAGAAAAGTATGCCGTTTCCTGAGCACTGCACTTCCCGGCACTCACCGCTTCTGCCTCCAACGCTCTCTTCTCCCTGGCCTGCCTCCCGCAATCATTCTCCTCTGCAATCCCACCACTGTAGTGCTCTTCAGCCTGGTGCCCACAAGGTTTATTTGTACTCTGCCCTTCTACCAAGAAAAACTGTGGTCAAGCCGTGATGGGCCGAAGTGCAGCTTCCACGCTTCCCGGCCAGCCTGGACATCGGGGGAAGTTGAGCCACTGCTCTGGGAGTGCCTCTGCCCCTCTCCCACTGCAGCCATTACACAAAGCACTCCTGATCGGAACTGCTGAGTGCCTAGAATCCCTGCTGGCAACAACAATACCTTCTCTGGACTGAATGGGCTAAGCAGACTTTTGTCTCTAGAGCTCAGCAGTGCCAATCAATGATCTGTCCTTGAGAGAAAGTTCAAGGGAGTTCTATTAAGCATGCGGCAAATGTGTGGCCCTCTGTATGCTATTGGCCTGCAACTCTGTGCAGCACTAGAGATAATGGGAGCTTGCAGTTCAGCAGCCTCGGAAGGGTTGCTTGCTCCCCGGCCCTGTTATATTGGAAGGCAGGAGTGGTTCCCTCCAATGGAAATGGCCCACTGGAAGAGATCAGGAGAAGCACCTCATTTTTCAAAGGAGCAGTAGGTAGATCTTTATAATCTTTATTCAGAATTGGGAGACCTACTGAGTCCAAAGTAGCCCAGAACATGAAAGTTGGTCATTTTTGTTCTAAGAGACTCCATTTCCATACAAGAACCAACAAACAGGTCCCAGAAATCCTACATTTCTACAATGATCATTACTACAAAACAGGGAGCCCATATGGCATAATGGTTAACTGCTAAAGTGAGATCATGGTTAAAATAACCACCCTGATGTAAAGCTTATTGGATGACTTCGGGACAATTGTCATGTCTCTGTCTAAACTACCACACAGCTTTGTTGCAAGATAAAATACTAAGACAGGTGTGTGTGTAGGGGGTGATGGCACACACATTGCCCAGGACTCCTCAGAAAAATAGTAGGAAAACGAAGTAATATCCATGATAAACTGTTAGTTGAAGGTACTTGGTCCACAAGCTATATCTGCCTAGGAAGCTAGATGCATAATGCTCCTAATTTCTCTCTGCTGCTCTGACCACCCAGTGCTAGCTAGCCATGTTTCTATATGATACTGTACACTTAGGCACAACAGCAGATAATATTGTAAGGAATAATGACAGCTGAGGCACTGTGCTGGTGAATTCTGGGAACTGGTAAGGGGCTGGATAGTCTTTGGGGGATGAGCTCACTGGTTCAACAGTCTAAGGCACATTTAGATGGGAAAAAGTCCTGGCTGAGGAATGCTGGGAACTGTAGGAACTTGTCTCATGTAAACACGCACAGAACTGTCCCCTTAATCAGTTAAGATGAATCCAGGAATAAGACTCGCATGTGAAGAAATGAAGATCAAATATCTCATAGGAACAACAGTAGATGAAAACATGGCTTACATTTGGAAGATCTCCGTCCCAAGTGTTCATTATCCACTGTGTCACTTGACCATTCCACCTTCTTGGCTGGTTTTCGCTTCCTCAGTTTGATGGTGAGACTGCGATTCTCCTGGGGGTGAAAGGGTAGAGAAAGCGTTTGCACCCAGCTTAAGTGAAAGTGATATGCCTCTTTCCTCTTCCGTATACACATTCTTGCTTTTCAAACCTTCCATCCTCAGGGAACACCTTCTATACAAATAGGTTTGCCTAGGAAGCCCTATCTCACTACAAATAAATTTGTACAATTACAGAGGACAGGGTGGGCAGACAGCAGTATTCAAGCTTAACTGTAGTGACTTCTCCTACTTGGCTCATCAAACCCCATGCATCCCACAATAACCTCATGCCATGGACCTTCTCGCAGTGGTAAGATAAAACAGAGATGCCTCTTATTGCCTATTCATAGGTTATCATTAGAGATACATTTGGTGTGCAAGGGGATGGGGGAGAGACAGAAATAAGAAAGGTCAATAGAAATCAATGCTGAAACTTCTGTAGTTCTACATAAGGTGATCTTAGGTTTCATGTATCCAATCTGTATTTTTATACCAGCACTAAGAGCACTAACAAGGCAGCAATAGGACACATAGCGTTTTCATGTACTGTACCATTATCATGGCTTCACTTTAAGTGTCAAAACTCTGGTCCGTAATGAACGGCACAGTGGCACTCATAAAACCACCATGTACTTTTGCACACGTACAAGCTGCTGATGCATCCTTCTTGCAGCCAAAATCTATCAGGTAATAACAGCTCATTGCAGCTTCTGCCTGTTTTGTCCAGAACAGCTCATAATAATTATCTATTGATGACTACCCTAGGCTACAGACTAAGAAAATATGGGTTTCAGAATAGGTGTCTGTTCCCAACAATAAACATCACAACATACAGAAAATCTAAACTGGACCATAGAATTGAATTATCACATTTAAAATTATCCTCCAACTAATTACATAATTACCCAGATTTTGAGAATAAAAGGAATGCTTCCCCACTACAAGTTGGGTTTCACAGGATAACTCTTTGCCTTAGCATTATAAAAGCATGAAACTCTGTATATACAGAGTATTATATCTTTAATGCCAGCTTTTAGGAAGAAATGAGAAAAACACCTTAAGTCTAATCACAGCTGCACCAAATCCTAGATTTTTCCATTGATCTATATGGACAACTCACTTTCATTCCAGGGGAAACTTAAAAAAATTCTATTGAATGTTTTGGGAGGTGGGTCAAGCATGTCCCCATCGGATTTGATTAATCGTTGTGGAGGGCCAAAGTTTATTAGTTTTCTTCCTATCTTTAAATACAGGGTGAACAAGAGTTTCTCTCCTTACTAAAAAAAAAAAAAAAAAAGAAAGAAAGAAAGGCTTGCAGCTGCCCCAGCCACATACCTGGAACACAATGGAACATGGGCACAACAGTATGTCATGACATCACCCTATTCCCAGAGGTATTATTGAAAGGAAGAAAGATGGGTACTGCCAGGGGCCTACACCACTTGATGCATCTACAGGTCTAGTTGTTGTTGTAGTTAGTCATGAAGTCGTCTCCAACCCATTGCGACCCCATGGACAACATTCCTCCGGGCCTTCCTGTCCTCCACATCTCCCAGAGTCCACTCAAGCTCACACCAACTGCTTCAGTGACTCCATCTAGCCACCTCATCCTCTGCCATCCCCTTCTTCTTTTCCCATCTATTGTCTAGTCCATTTTGTCTAGTATTGATTTTTAAAAAGAAAAACACCCCAGCTACCTTGTATTTAGCAGTAAAAGAGTATTCTGAAGATCTCCCCTGTGCACACATATCACTGAATAGTCCTCGCACGATTAGGGATAAATAACCTCATATAAGTGTGTGCACGTGGGATATTGAGCCCTGCTTTAATTGAAGCCAGAAACAAGTTCTGTGTATTAGTCTGTTACAAACCTACTGTACATATTACAAATATTACCACAGTGGTCACTGCAGATTGAATGCCATCTTCCTGACAGAGATGGGTGGGGCTTGAACTTTCAGACAGATGGACATTGACTTTTTTGTTATAGCCCTGCCTATGGTAGGTGGCATGAGGATATCAGATTACAGTGTGGGTGGGGCTTGTAGCAGAGCCACTGCTTCTACTATGAATGCCACCGCATATTGATTACATTAGAGGGCTGCCAGTTAAGTGGATGCAAGCCATTTATTATGTGCATGGCATAAATATTTCATCTGTGCTTAGAAATATCTTGGTAAAAGCCTAGGCAAAGTTCAATATGAAAACCACCAGGAGAGTAGACTACACTGATTCACGAAGCTGCACCTAAGTATACACAGAGATGGAAAATACCACTGTGCATCAATCTGACTCATTTAGGAGGAAATAGGAATGGGCTTGTTTAATTCTCCCAACCCCTCAACTTTCTCTATTCCTGTTTTCACATATTAGGCTTACGAAACCTCTGTTCTATTGCTGTTTCATTTTTGAGTCTCCAGGAAAAACGGCTTGCTAAGCTAGCCTATTCACTGGTTTTGTATCCAGACCTACTGAACCTCTATAACCTTTTCCAGGTATCCATGGTGCATACAAACAAATGCCCATGAAAGCCCCTTTGATTTTTGTTATAAGCACCCTCCACTTACCTGTTTGCTGCTGCTTTTGTAGCCCCAATCACTTTGTTTACTAATTATACTGCATATGTTTGTGCATTGGTGCCATTTTCAAAAGCTGCATGAGTATAATACATCAAAAATGCAGCAGAAAGGTCAAGAGAGCTGATGGTCACTAAAAAATCAGCAACTGGGAGTAACTCAGGCACAGAATAGTGATGGTGGCAGTCAAGAAGGTCTGATCACTAAGGATATTTATTTTCTAAATGATTCAACATAAAAAAGAGTTAATTAATACTGTTTTAAGTTGTATGTATATATTCTCTACGGCCTGATATCACCACTGTGATATCCACCAGCCTGAAATTCTTGAGATAACATTCTATTTTTCTTCCAATAATGGCTTACAGGCATGTATGTATGATAATCACAAATCTATTCTATTCAATACTGTGCATTATCTATCTGTTATAGCAGCAGTCAATCTCACCAAACAAATTGTCAGAGTTTCCAATTCTGTAACCACTTTGGTTTTTACAAACCAGTAACTATCACTGTCAATAGGGAACCAGTGCTGTATAGTGCAGGGCCCTGGATAAAGGAAGGCACACCCAAGTTCAAGTCCCCTCCATATCCAAAAAGCTCACCAGATGACCTTGGGTCAGTCACCATCTCTCAGCTCTTCCTAGTTCAAAGTGTGCTCTGTAGCAAAGTTGTAGGATTAAAACAATCATGTAAATAAGGCATAATGCCACTAAATTCATTGGCACACAGCAGCCTGCTCTATAAGACCAAAGGTTCACAAGTCCACCCAGCCAGTTGCCCAAAGCGGTAAGATGCTTCCAGGCAGCTCATAACAAAGCAACCAAAAGGCACAGCCCACTCCCTTTATTTGCCTCTCTCCAAAGGTATCTTGCTAGACCTGACAACCGGCATATCATCCTCTGCTTAGCGCATCCAGATGGCCGTCTGGTTAGCACACCTTTTCCCTTCATCACCGGGAAGACCGTCGCAGCCCTTCGCAAGGCCACCGAATTCCCCGACCCTCGGTTGCCACGACAACCGCGGCGGACCCGGATTCAGCTGCCAGGGCCGCCCCCAACGGTTCCGGCTCCATTCCCGTGGTCGCCATGGCGCTGCTGTCTCCCCCGCCGCCCCCGAACCCCTCCGGCGCCCCGTGCTCACCGGTTCAGTCACCTCCGTCTCGGTGACCGTCGCGGAGGCGCCCACGCTGGCCGCTGACTCCGCCATAGCAATACGGCTCGGGCCCGGCCCGCTGCGTCGCCGCCTGCAGGGGGAAAGCTCACTGGACGCCTCCGACCCAGCTCGCCCAGACCCTCCCCGCGTCAGGGGCCTCTTTCGCCGCACCTGCCGCCCTCACGCCGCGGCTCGTCTCCCCCACCTCCCTCGCAGGTGCTGCAGCCTCTCCCTTCACCCGCTTCCGGCCGCGCCGCTTCCGGCTTCCTCCTCACGTCCCCCACATTAACGCGTCCCCCAGCTAGACCTCAGAGTCACTTCCTCCGTACGGATGCTCGTTCTTCTGACGGCGCTTGCGCAATACGCATCGCGAAGGATTACAGCTCTGAGCTCCCATGGTATTAGGTTTAGTGCCTGTCAACCCAGGAAACGTGGGCAACAGTGAGCGATGTTCCAGTTTGCGGTCCTAGTGGAATCTGCAGTACGACAAGCTGGGGAAGCTTAATTTGCTCTGCCATATAATGTAATTGGCAAGGAAACAGCAAGGAAACAAAAATCTTCCGAGATTAAGAGGATGGACGTAATTTATACTGGACCAAATACCTTGACTGGAGGAATGCAGTGAAAGCACTTGAGATCCATCACGAAGCTTTATAGTACTTGAATTCTCTAGTCAGTGTGGGGAAGTGGTTGGGACTCAGGAGATCTAGGTTCTCCTCTGGCCATGGAGCCAATTGGAAGACTTTGGGCCAGTCACAGACTTTTACCCAACTCACCTCACAGCAGGGTTTTTGTGGGGATGAGAATAATGTAAGCTGCTCTCAGATAGGATAGAAATCAAATGAATAGGCCACAAAAGCTTATGCTGTGATTCATTTACTAAGTCTTCAAGGGCACACATCTTTGTATGTTTAAATAGAAAAAATTCTATAACCTCCAATATGAATGGCTGGGGAACGGTAGGAGCTGTAGACTGCGCTTCCATCTATACATGCATAGATCTGTTTGCATACTTGCCCACTGTTCAGCTACCCTGATTTTGAGTGTTCCAAGGGGTAAAGTATGGTCAGGAGTAACACATCTGTGTTAATCTTTAGCATGCACTTTTGTGAGTAATGCTGTGAAATATGAGTCTTGGCTCCCAACTGTCATTTTGACCCCCAAATTAAAGGCAAAGATGAACACAGCAAGAAAATAAAAGTTTTATTTTACATATTCAAGTTGGGAGGGAAATTCACAATCACACCAGGAAAGGCATACATTACTGAATAATTCACATGCCCTACCTCAAATTCTCTTCTTAGTTCCACTCCAGATAGAAGGTAGTTTGGGAAATGGAACTTCTGAAAGATACTAATCTGGGACTTCCCTCCATCTCCCACATCTCCCTTAACTATACTGGATTAGATCGAGAAGCATTTCAAATCTGCTACATCAATTCACCATTTTGAATCTAGACCAATGATTTGGGGAGGTAGGCGACTACTTCACCTCCTTACAGAATACAAAAGCAAATTTTAAAAGGGCATGATCAGAGTACCCCGAAACAAATTATACAGCTGAGACTTCACAACAGGGCAGTGCTTTTCCCTCTTACAGCTTTGGTTGGGGGAGAAGATGGGACAGGACCATTCACCTCAACCACTTATGACACTCTTTATAAAAAAGCGAATTCCTAAACCTGTGTCACTAGAAAAAGAACGGTAGGGAGACAGAACACAGGGAGCAAGGAGAGCGGCAGTGCCAGAAACAAGGACTGCTGTGGTCACAGGATCCAAGGATGCATGCTGGTTTGGAGAAGCTGGGCTCTCACCAGTTACCACAACAGCGTATGCAGAGTTCCAAACCTACACTGAGTACTGGTGCCTCATGAGCCAGACCTGGCCCAGGAAATATGGTGTCCCCCACCCTTCCCTTCTTTTTTACAGTGCAATTGCAGCCTCCCGACATCAGTTCAAAGGAAGAAGAGTGGAGCAGGCAGAATAACATCTACCCTATAAAAGGATAAAGGGTGATAACGGGAAGGAGCGAGTGACTGCTCTCCAGCAAACCACAGAACCCTTCTGTTTCTTCTTGAACCAAGGGTGTAGCATGACTAGAATGAAAAATCTGTCTCCCCAGCAGACACACACACCAAGTCCGAGTAGCTCAAACACTTTTATCAGGAGTGGGGCAAGAGGTCAACAAACTAAGATGCTAGAGGGGAATACACAAGCCATTGTGGTGCAGAGGTCACAGTGCTGAACTGGGACTCGGGAGACCTGAGCATTAGTCCCTGCTCAGCCATGAAGTTCATCGGCTGATTTTGGGCCTCTCGTTGACTCTCAGCCTTACCTAACTCACAGTATGGCTGTAAGAATAAAATGGAGAGGAAGATGACCATGTACATCTCTTTGAATTCCTTGCGATAGGTAAAAAGATGGCGCACAAATGTAATAATAAAAAATAAAATAAAAGTCTTGGGTGATGGCAGCAGCAGCGAGACGGCTCGTGGCAAGAGCACATACTATGTTTAATTCTGGATCGGTTCGGCCCACAGATTAACAATTGTTCTTTCTTTTCCATGAGAAAGGAGAAAAGAGAAGTAACAAATTGGAAAAAAGATCTTGGTCTACTTGCAAGACCATTTTTATCACATGTCACTCCTGCCGTTACTTTCTATTTTCATTTCAGGTTTGTAGTCCACTAGAGAAGGTCTGTAGTCGTCATCTGCAAATCACCCAGCTAAGTAGGAGGCTGATTCCATGGTAACCAAGATTTCCACTGCCACAGTAGCAATCCAGAGATGACTCTTTGAAGCAATTCTAATTATAAATATTTGGGCAAACTTGATCAAGAATCTTCTTTCTCTTGGAAACTGGAATTAAAACAAAAACAAGTTATAAATACCATGGTCACGGCATGCACCTGATTGACTCAGTACAAAAAGCCCACAAAATCACAGACATGGACAGAACTTTTTCACAGAGGATTAATGACATTACACCCACACACTCCAGAAAATGTGCCCCACTATTTTCACGTAAAGTTGAATAACATGCAGGGCGAGCTGGATTTTTGCCATGATGAAAGCCTCCCAAAACCATGATCTGAGGCCCACCCTCCAGGAGCAACTGGAGCCATCATAAAATGATGCCTCCAATACTCATCCTTGGGATGGAGCTCATCCAGATCAAAAACCACTGAGAGGTCCAGCAGAACCAACCGGGTGCACCTGGTTCCCAGTGCAGACGGTCCACCAAGTCCACCAAAGCCAGGCTAGAAACCGGAGTGAACGATGCAGTTCTAACAGTATGTTGCCCATGTTCCCTGACAAGTCAATTGGAGGGGTACAGAAAAGCTCATTTAGTAGAGAAAAGTCAATGCAGTTTTTGATGGGGAGGGGGAGACTCCAGCCTGGCAGCCAAATCAGCGTTTTGACCCCCTGGGGTTTCCCAGAGGGACAATCCCTTCCCCTGACCCCATTCTTCTTCTCTGATTATTTGGTAGCTTCCTGACTTTTGTGCTGTTTCTTCCCCCAGTTCTAAAAGGTTAGAATGTCTTCTCCAAAGCTTACTTACTGGCTGTAAGAACTGTAAGCTACAATACGCTAATTTTATTTTTGTACTTTGGGCCCACCCCCTTTGCTTTTGGCTCCTGCTCACAACTGGAATTCAGCCCCAGAGAGCTCCTCTAAACCGCACAGAGATAAAGGGAAGTGCTTCTTCACACAGCACAGAATTAAACGATGGAATTCACTTCCACAAGAGGCAGTGATGGCCACTGATTTGGACAGCTTGAAAGAGATCGGACAAATTCACGAAGGGGAAGGCTACTAGCCCTGAACCCTCCATGCTGCCTCCAGCGTGAGCGGCAGTATGTCCCTGCCCAGCAGTTGCTGGGGAACCTGGGCCGGAGGGTGCTGTCGGACTCATGTCCTGCTTAAGGGTTTCCAGCGGGCCGCTGGGTGGCCGCTGTGGAAACAGCATACTGGGCCAGACCGACCCGGCAGGGCTCTTCTTCGGTTTTCCAAGCGTGAGCATGCCAAGGACGAGGCACATGAACTGTTTACAGGAGGTTCCTCACTTGCAGTGGATGCAGGTGTAGAAGACGGTCTGCCCTTCATCTGCAGACCTCATCTGCCGAGTGTGGTACGCCATGCCTTCATGCCCGCACTGGGGACACTTCCTGTCAATCTGAAAGGATCGAAGAGATCTAGATCAGAGCTGTGAGATGAGCTTTCTTCCTGCTGGAGGTCCTCCAAGGCGGTGCAGGTGTGCCACTGCTTCTGGCCTGATTAAAACCCAGTAGCCTCTTCTTTCATGCTGCCACCACCTGCAACAGGATTTGCCAACATGGGACTCCCAGTTATGTTGGACTGCACCCATCACTGAGAGCCAGAGCGGTGTAGTGGTTAAGAGCACAGGACTGGGACTCAGGAGATCTGGGTTCTAGTCCCTGCTTACCCACGGAGCTCACTAGGTGACTTTGGGCCAGCCGCAGGCTCTCACCCTAACCTACCTCACAGGGTTGTTGCTGCGAGGATTTTGATGCTTTTATTGCTACCTGTATATTTTGTGTTGTATGCATTGCTGTGAATCACCCAGAGAATTCTGTGCTGGGCAGTACAGAAATGAAATTAATAATAAAAGTGTATCTTAATACTAGTACAGCTGGTAACTAAGCCTTAAGAGAAAAAAATCAATGTTTTAGAATGGTGGAATTGATTGCATAAAAAACAAATGTTGGGAATCCACCAAATTATTAAGCAGCAGCTGGGGAAGTAAAAGTCACTCAGTGATGTGGAAAAGTAGTGATAAAGCCTTCTGAGGAACCCCAAAGGGCAGATTTTGCCACAGGTCTGATGTTTGGAATCCTGTGCCAGAGAAAACTGACAAACAGAAATATTACTGCCCTCCTTCCAAATTCACTCACCAACGGGCCTTTGACTGCTTTTCCATCATCCACTGTTAAAGAGGTGGCATCTATTCTGTTGAATTCAGTGCATGTATGGATAATTCTTTTTTCAAATTCTGCATAGAGAAGAAACATAGGGGATACTTGAGAACAGAATCCATTAATACAAATTATAAGTCCCACCTAATATTCTTCACAGGTTACCCCCTAATTTTGTGAAAGTACATGGCTATAAGCATTAAAATTACTTTCTTTGGATGGCTATCAGCATTTAAGTGACTTCCCTCTCTCCCTTCCCAAAATTCAGCCATGAATTTATTCAAGCTTTATAAGATGTAGGTTTTGTTCTTAGAAAAAGGAGATGTGCTAGTACACCTGCCTCAGGCTTCAGATGCAGTTCATATGATCAAACACTCCCACATAAGTTTTTAAAAATCCTATATATAGAAATCTAACATATCAGGAAACCTAGATTAGACCTCTTTTCCCTGACAACTAGTTTTCTAAACCATGGAATTTCTATTCTACTTTTTATTTGCTGGAGCATTCAGTGTCCAATGTCATATAGTCCTGACTCAGATTTACAATCTTATCTTCTGTTTGTTAGCACTGAACCCAACTTTGACTTAAATAAAATACAATGTTAACACATTTAAATATTAGAAGAACTCAAAATTCTGCATTATGCCAATGGAAGATAGCAAGTAATGTAGTTGAAACCAATGAGGGAAGGATTCCTGATATTTTTTATTGGATGCTACTTAGGATTGACTGATCTGTCAATTATTGTTTCAAAGGCTCACAGAAAATGTTGAGGACTAAGGTTAATGGAACCAGATCAGAATGGGGAGAAAACAGCACCCTCTCTTTTAATCAACCTAAGGTCTCAAAAGGATAGAGAAGGATGACGGTATCTGCCTAGCTGTTCCACTTCTAAAGTTGTGGGAGGCCAGAAGGGGTTATTAAAATGAATCATTTCCTGTATTTATGTATGCCCAGTTTTTGATGCAACTCCAGGAAAGCTACTCTACCCTCTGAGAATTTCCAATGTGAAGGGACCAAGTCAGACAGAATAAAGCTGGACATGGTCTGTATTGCTTATGTGTCAGGTGGGGCAGGCAACAGAAGCATCAGGAAAAGACACTCACCTCGCACATCAATGGAGAAAGAGCAACAGGGACATGTCACCTTGTCCTGGATACCTGGCAGAGGTAGGACTGTACCACACTCAGGGCAGAAATCAAGTTCTGACTCAAAGCGGGAACTACTTTGCTCCATAACTGCTAAGAAAAGCAGAGGCTGCAGGGGAAGAAAGTGGAAGCAGATGAAATAGCAAGAATGTGCTATTATTTAAACTACATGAATTGAGGAGCAATTCTATCTAGCTAGCTTAGCATAGATCTAATCCACATTTCCAAAATTTCCAACAACCATCCCATTTCCCAGAATTCAGAAAATGTACAGAAGAGGAATATCTCTCTAATACAGAAAGAAATACATCACATGCTCCTAAATGATAACAAACTTGGTGGAGAAATCTTTCAAACTTCACAGCCTTGATGTGAATCCTTTATGCAGAAGCTTTACTATTATAATGGGTGGAATTCTGAGCCAATCTTCTAAAGAAACCAGTAATGCTGTAGCAGCCACCTACAGCATCAGAACTTTTCTGAAGGAACAGGTCTTTCACTTCTCACAGTCTAGATCTGCAGGACTTCCGTGAAAGAGAACACATCACACAGTACAACAATCCACCATTCCTGTTTGCAAATGAGTTATGACCAACTGGGCTGAGAGTGATGCTTCTCTACCCATTGCTCATCATTTCTAGAATTGCCCTACAAAATGAACTTGGGACAGCTCTCCCAGCCTCCTCAATAGAAACACTGCAGTAGTACCTGACACTATGATTCACTGGAGCCAGGAGAGGATCTATTAATATTTAGAGTTCCAATGTCCAGACAGCTCCTGTGTCTTTGAGAACATAGTGCTCAAAGGCATGACTTTCTAGAGGAGCCACTTTTGATTGAAGAATGTTCCTGTGTGAGAGAGACTCTTCAAAGGACAGGAACCCAGTCCTGTTCTGCTCCTATCAATTCATTTGCAGATTTTATTTATTATATTTATATCCCACTTTTCCAACCTGGTACCCTCCAGATTGTTTTGGACTATGACCACCATTGATCAATGGCCATGAACCCTGCCCAACACCGATAGTGATCAAATCTTCGGGGGGGGGGGGGGGCTGGATAAAGCTGTTCTATCCAACCCAGCATCTCAGATTTATTATTATTACTACTACTACTACTAGTAATACTACTACTAGTAGTAGTAGTATTTATATCCCGTACTACTACTACTACAAGTATTTATATCCCGTCCTTTCGCCAGGTGCTCAGGACATCTTACAAAATATGAAAGTACAATATAAAACTTCAATTATTAAAACAATATAAAACACATCATGAACTTAAGAAAAAGGAGGAAGAAATAGAAAATGTGACTATGAAGAAAATAGAAAAAATCCTAAAACGTCTAAAACCGTTGATTATGAAAATAATGGTATGTGGCATGCTGTCCACATTTTCCAAGGAACCCTAAGAAGAGACAGTGCTCCTGCATGTTTGAGGATTTTGCAAATGCCAGTTAGGCACCCTCGCTGCTGCAAGCTGAGGAAGGTTTAAATAAAACTGGCTTCTCCAAACTGGTGCTCTGCAGAAGTTTTGGACCAGTTTCCGTTAATCCGGGCCACTGCGGCCAAAGGACTGGGATGATGGGAGGTATAGTCCCAAGCATCTTCAGGTTCGGGAAGACTGCCATAAAGCTTTTATGCAACTTGCACAGCCGTAAACCTGCAGTTACCCAGCCACTAAAACAGAACGTACTCTTTTACTAAAGACTCTTAAACACTGCAGCCTGCAAGGCAAAGCCCCCAAGTTCTACACCAGACCAGACCAGACCAGTACCTCTCAAGGTCCGTCCCGTTCGCTCACCAGTTTCTTGCTCGCGCCAAACGGGGCCCACCCGCAGCACGCGCCGGGAACGCTTCCGAGAGAGACAAGTTCGGGAACACAGAGCGCCCACCCTCCCAGAGCAGTAGAATTCGGGGAAGAGATAGAGTGTCTCCAACCATCATGGAAGCTTCCGGTTTTAGAGCATTCGCATTATAATGCTATTAGCCAAGTTGTTTGATCCGACTAAAGTTGACATCGTCGATGCACTGACTTGCGACAGAGCGAGCCTCGTCTAAGCCAGTAGTTCTTGCTTCTGACCTAACACACATAGATGATCAGACTTAGGAAACTGTCTTACACCAAAACAGACCGGCTTAGTATTTCCTACACCAGCTGTCAGCAGTTTGGTGCCTTACAGATGTGTTGGACTACATATAAATTAAAACATCAGGAGGGTACCGGGTTGCTTACTCCTGGTCTACACTGGCCAGGAGTAGTTGTCCTAGTTGTCAGGTAGGCGTTTTTCCGCCGGTACCTGAAAATATTGGGACTCAGACCTGGAACTTCTGCATACAAAGGAGGAATTCTCCCACTGGGCTGGAGCCTCTTCTCTCCTCCCCTCTTCTCCAGTACTCTGGTGCAGTGGCTGTACCTAGGAGCATGTTATATATTTTTATTAGAACATTAGCCATTTAAGACACAGGGAAGAACTGAAACCATGAAATACGTCCAGCTTAAATTTGAAGTAAAATGTAGTTTGACTGCCCCCTGAACCAGAGCACTCTTTACTTGCTTCCTAAATATCAACATTAACCAAACATACTTTCTTCTGCAGGAGGATTCTCAACTGGTTTTTTGTTTGTTTGTTTGTTTTTTTGGTAAGCTGTCTTTTTATATGCCATCCAAAACTTTAAATAAATAAATAAATAAATAAATAAATGCTTAGTTCGGATTAGTGCTCAGAAGGGAGACTGCCTCGGAACTCCAGTGATACTGCTTTGCATTCTGTGATTGAAAGGTTGCGCCAAAAAAACATACATCAATGCACGAGGTGCGTTATACAGGATGCATAACACTAGGCACAAGAGATGAAATCCTTAAAAAAAAAGACTTACAGAGGTCTAACTCCTGCATACAGAGCAGAGAAGCTGAAACTGTGGAGTGGAGAGAGGGAGAGAGCTATTTCCTGATCTTGGGCTATAGAGACCAGGTGGTCTAAGGTGCCAGACTCAAGGCATGACTTTACTCCTGCTGGTGCACTTTGGTCTCCAAAGGATGAGTTGGTTCAAATCCCAGTCCTGGCAAATCCCAGTCCTGGCAAATCCCTCACCCAAGAAAGCAAGCAGTTGGCTGAAGCCAGCTTTATCAAGTTGCAACTGGACAGGAAGGTTTGCATTTTCTCCAGTCCAAGGCTGTGGTTTAAGGAACCAGACACAAGTGGCGTCCACCTGGAAGCTTTGTTCTGAGGGAGGAGGCATGGGTTTCATTTCCACCCCTGAATTCTTTTTGTCTCTTGCCTCTAGAAACCACATCTGCCAGTTGATGGCACCAAAGAGTGGCTGAAATGAGTGGCTTTTTCAGTTTGCAGGTGGAGGGAAGGGCCAAACTAGACCATTGTATCTCCTTCCAGCAGCATGGTTGAGAGGATCAAGGTGCCAGACTGAACATCTGGAAGTTCAGGAGGGAGTGTTATTTCAAATCCTGACGGCCTCCTTTTGGTAGCCCAGAGAAGATTGCTTCTGCTTATTTGATCTGATCAGACTGTAGTGGACAGCCAGCCAGGATTCCCCACTCCTGTGGCCAACTGGGCTTAAATCTCCACCCAGAAGCTCCCTGTTCCCCAAACTGCGGCCCACACACTGGATTCAACACATGACAACCCAAGCGTTGGGGAAGAAGGATTTGTTAAAAGGCTAAAAGATAGGGGTGGAGAGTACTAAAACACTAAGGCAAAGAATACACAAAGGCGTGGGGGGAACGAAAAGGGGATTTGGAGATCAGCACTAATACACTTCATAGCCAGCCAGAGCCCCCCAGAACCCCAGGCCTTGTTGGCCTGTTGTTGTTGTTAGCTGCAAAGTCATGTCCGACCCATCGCGACCCCATGGACAACATTCCTCCAGGCCTTCCTGTCCTCTACCATCCCCCGAAGTCCACTTAAGCTCATGAAATCCTGCGTCAGTGACTCCATCAAACCACCTCATTCTCTGCTGTCCCCTTCTTCTTTTGCTGTCAATTGTTCCCAGCATTAGGCTCTTCTCCAGGGAGTCCTTCCTTCTCATTAGGTGACCAAAGCATTTGAGCTTCATCTTCAGTATCTGGCCTTCTAAAGAGCAGTCAGGGTTGATCTCCTCTAGGACTGACCTGTTTGATCACCTTGCAGTCCAAGGGACTCGCAGGGGTCTTCTCCAGCACCACAATTCAAAGGCCTCAATTCTTCGGCATTCAGCCTTCCTTATAGTCCAGCTTTCACACCCATACGTACATTGCAACTGGAAAAACCATAGCCTTGACTATACGCACTTTTGTTGGCAGGGTGATGTCTCTGCTTTTTAGTATGCCGTCTAGGTTTGCCATAGCTTTCCTCCCCAGGAGCAAGCATCTTTTAATTTCTTGGCTGCAGTCCCCATCTGCGGTGATCTTGGAGCCCAGGAAAATAAAATCTGTCACTCCCTCCATTTCTTCTCCGTCTATTTGCCAGGAAGTGAGAAGACCGGATGCCATGATCTTAGTTTTCTTCGTTGAGTTTCAAGCTAACTTTTGCATTCTCCGTCTTCACCTGCATCAAGAGGCTCTTTAGTTCCTCTTCACTTTCTGCCATGAGAGTGGTATCATCTGCATATCTGAGGTTGTTGATATTTCTCCCAGCAATCTTAATTCCAACTGGTGATTCATCTAGCCCCGCCTTTCTCATGATGTGCTCTGCATATAAGTTAAATAGGCAGGGCAACAGTATACAGCCTTGCTGAACTCCTTTCTCAATTTTGAACCAATCACTGGTTCCGTGTCCAGTTCTCACTGTTGCTTCTTGACCCGCATATAGGTTTCCCAAGAGACAAATAAGATGGTCTGGTACTCTCATCTCTTTAAGAACTTGCCACAATTTGTTGTGATCCACACAATCAAAGGCTTTAGCATAGTCAATGAAGCAGAAGCAGATGTTTTTCTGGAACTCCCTAGCTTTTCCATGATCCAGCATATGTTGGCAATTTGATCTCTACTTCCTCTGCCTCTTTGAAATCCTGCCTGTACTTCTGGTAGTTCTCGGTCCACATACTGCTGGAGCCTAGCTTGTAGGATTTTGAGCATCACTTTGCTAGCATGCGAAATGAGTGCAATGGTGCAGTAGCTTGAGCATTCTTTGGCATTGCCCTTCTTTGGGATGGGAATGTAAACTGACCTTTTCCAATCCTGTGGCCACTGTTGAGTTTTCCAAATTTGCTGGCATATTGAGTGTAGCACTTTTACTGCATCGTCTTTTAGGATTTTGAATAGATCAACTGGAATACTGTCGCCTCCACTAGCTTTGTTGTTGCTCAGACTTCCTAAGGCCTATTTGACTTCACATTCCAGGATGTCTGGCTCAAGGTCAGTGACCACCCCATTGTGGTTATCAGGGACGTTAAGCTCTTTCTTGTATAGTTCTGTGTAATCTTGCCACCTCTTCTTAATTTCTTCTGCCTCTGTTAGGTCGCTGCCATTTTGGTCCCTTATCATGCCCATCTTTGCATGAAATGTTCCCTTCATATCTCCAATTTTCTTAAAGAGATTTCTGGTCCTCCCTATTCTATTGTTTTCTTCTATTTCTTTGCACTGTTCATTTAAGAAGGCATTCTTATCTCTTCTAGCTATTCACTGGAATTCTGCATTCAATTGGGTGTATCTTTCCTTTTCTCCCTTGCCTTTCGCTTCCCTTCTTTCCTCAGCTATTTGTAAAACTTCCTCAGACAGCCATTTTGCTGTCTTGCACTTCTTTTTCTTTGGGATGGTTTTAGTTGCTACCTCTTGTACAATGTTGCCAACCTCCGTCCATAGTTCTTCAGGCACTCTGTTTATCAGATTAATTCCTTAAATCTATTTGTCACTTCTACTGTATATTCATCAGGAATATGATTTAGGCCATACCTGAGTGGCCTAGTGCTTTTCCCTAATTTCTTCAATTTAAGCCTAAATTTTGTAACCAGAAGCTCATGATCTGAGCCACAGTCAGCTCCTGGTCTAGTTTTTACTGACTGTATAGAACTTCTCCATTTTTGGCTTCAGAGCACATAGTCAATCTGATTTCTGTGTTGACCGTCTGGTGATGTCCATGTGTAGAGTCATCTCTTGGGTTGTTGGAAAAGAGTGTTTGCTATGACCATTGTATTCTCTTGACAAAATTCTACCAGCCTGTGCCCTGCTTCATTTTGTACTCCAAGGCCAAACTTGCCTGTTAATCCAGTTATCTTTTGGCTTCCTACTTTAGCATTCCATTCCCCCATGATGATAAGGACATCATTTTTGGTGTTAATTGTAGAAGGTGTTGTAGGCCTTCATAGATCCGCTCAACTTCAGCCTCTTTAGCACCAGTGGTTGGGGCATAGACTTGGACTACTGTGATGTTCAATGGATTGCCTTGGATTCGAACTGAGATCATTCTGTCTTTTTGGAGACTGTATCCCAGTACTGCTTTTCCTACTCTTTTATTGACTATGAAGGCTACTCCATTTCTTCTGAGGGATTCTTGTCCTCAGTAGTATACCTGATGGTCATCTGAATTAAATTCACCCATTCCTGTCCATTTTAGTTCACTGATTCCTAAGATGTCAATGTTCAGTCTTGTCATCTCTTGTATGACCACGTCCAGCTTGCCTTGATTCATGGATCTTGCATTCCAATTTCTTATGGAGTATAGATCTTTGCAGCATCGGACTCTCCTTTCACCACCGGATACATCTGCAACTGAGTGTCCTTTCAGCTTTGACCCGGTCGCTTCATTCTTTCTGGTGCTACTAGTACTAGCCCTCTGCTCTTCCCCAGTAGCATTGGACACCTTCCAACCTGAGGAGCTCATCCTCCGGCGTC